TGGCCTGTATCAGGCGCACCTTAGTCTCCAGAGAGACACTGTTGCTCCTGAGTACGTTTGAGAGGTCCCTAACGGCAGACTTTCCCATCGCCATACGCTTTTTGATTTCCTGACTGCTGGTACCAAGAAAATAGTTAAAAAAAAACAACAACAACAACACACCAAACAAGCAAATCGACCTTCTGCTCCAGAGAAGGACTGGCAGCATCCTCCTCACCAGCCATATCCAGTAATTAAATCTTCAGAATTTTTCTTGTGAAACATTCTCAAAGGCACTTACTACTGTTGTGGATCATTACCTCATAAACATAAGTTAAATAAGACCCTACCTGTTGTCTTCATTTTCTCTCTTCACAACTCTATCCTAAGACTGATTCTGTTTTGTTCAAGCACCCTTGAAGTTCTGCCATCAGTTGGATAATAACCTCACATTGAATGTCTCCGTAGCCTGGTCTCAGATATCTTTTTCAGATCCATTTTTCATCTCTTCTTTATATGTTTTCTGTGTTCCTCCCAAGATAGACCATTTACTTTTTCCTGACTGCCTTTTCTTTTTGAAATCCTACCTAAATTGATAAATCTTAGTTCAAATGTATTTTCTTCATAATAGTCTTAAGCTTTCTTTCCCTGGATTTTTTTTTCCATTTTATTGTCTTGAAATGAGCTGAAAGATTCTTTTGTAAGGCACTTAGATTTTTAATTTTGCTACTAGAGTGAAAGGTCTTACTTATTCATATAACCCTTAATTCTCCAGCACTTTACACAATGTAGTAAAACAGTATTTCTCATGGAATAAAGAATTACTGTATCACTCTGTAAATAAAAACTAGACCTTTTCCAATTATTATTTATGTAATAAGAGTAGTGGAAATGAACATTATAAAGCGTTAATCAATAGATTCTATGTTCTTGACATACAAGTATATATAACCTCATAAAAATTGTTTCTTGAATAAACTTTTCTGTCTTAAAACATAGTACTGTCAAGTCAGAACTAACTCAAAACTGACAGCCATGAATTTTTAGAGGATGTAAATCTCATGAAGGAGCTTCTGCAGCTTTACTCATAGAGCCTTCAGTGGATTTGAACCTATATAGAGGTTACCTTTAGGGTAACAGTGCAACTCTCTACAGACTTTGCCACCAGAACTCCCTTTGTTTTGTGGTCCCTTTGAGTCAACTATAACTCCTAGTAACACTTTGAACAACAGATCAGAATCTTGCTCTCATGTCATGGTATCTGCCATGCTTAAGTCCATTGTTATATTTACTGTATCAATCCATCGTGTTGAGAGTCTTCCTTTTCTATGACCCTAATCCTTTTCCAGCATGATGTCTTTTGCTAAGGGCTGGTCCCTCTTGATAATATGTCCAAGATACATGAGATGAAGTTTCACCACCTTTGCCCCTCAGAAGCACCATGTTCACACTTCATCAAGACATTTTTTTGCAATTTCTTTTTTACAGTCTATGGATATTTAATATTCTTTGCCAACACTACAAGTCAAAGAAAGGTCTTCACCAATAGCCTAATTCAAAGCCATCTATTGTTTGGTCATCCTTATTCATTGTCCAACTTTCAGATGCATACAAACAGTGGAAAATATAGGTTGGAACACTTGCACCTTAGTCTTTAAATGGACATTATTGTTCTTTAGCACTTTTGGAGAGGTCCTAGAGAACCATAACCAAATACGTCTTTTGATTTCTTGACTGCTCTACCATAACTATTGTTTGTATATGTTCAGCATGAACAAAATTAAATTTCCTTTAGCAACTTGTAATTTTTCTCCAAAGCAGTTATTGTTTGAGAATTTATATAATGAGATATTATCAGATCAAGGAGGTGAAAATATTTAAAAGTAACCAATATATAAAGTAATTGAAGAAAGTGTTACTGATATCTGATAAAATATCTTTCTATTTTATTTTTTGAAGAAGGTGGTTGCTGGTAAGTTTTGCAGAAAGTTTTGACAGCAATTAGCTCAACTGAAGTGTCTGTGAATATGTATGCAAGTTTGCGAGTTTAAATTAATACGTAAATAATAAAGAAATTTTGCAAATTGCCTTTTTAAATTTCATTATACAATATAATACATCTCTACTTTTTATCTTTTTCAAGGTTGTGAATCCTAAAAAAAAAGGAAAAAAGAAAAAATACACTAATTCTGGAACAGTAAGTCAGTTTTTCAGTTTTATATAGTAACAGTCTAAATTTATATATTACTATATTGATATTATTTATATTTTGTTGTTTTTGTTGTTGTTGATTGCCATCGAGTTGGGCACGACTCATAATGACCCTATGAACAAAAGGCCTAAAACCTTTCTTTAACTATAGTCATTTATTATAGGTCAGAGTTCCCAGAGGCATGTGGTTTAGGAAGTGGATGCCATTTCTGCTTCCAAGTTAGGAGACTAAAATCTAACATCTCATAAATTGACTACCCCTCTCTACAATGGAGTCCTTCCTTGTTTTATAAAATTCTTGTTTTTAAAAAATTTATGGGATATAGAAGTGCCCTTTTTATAGTGCAACTCTGTGGGAATACTGTACAAGACCAAGAAGCCAAAGAATAAACCTATTGAATCATAAAGAGGGCATAAAGATTAACGTATCTGAACATTGTGAAAAGCAAAAATTATCTGCATTTCAAAGAAAATAATACTATAGAGTTTTATTTTTCAAATTTCCTATAAATCTGCTAACACAAGACACTTAAAAATAGATGGGCCATTACAGCCACATGACAAGCACCACCCCCCAACCTTCCTTTTGTAAGGTTTGGCTTACTGATTTTGATCTTTTTTTCCAAAACTATTTTCCAACTCCCTTTCATCTTTCCTTTCATCTGAAATGGGAAGTAATAGTGTCCTTATAGATAATTCTTCATGATTTTCTTCAAAGGGCGTAAACTGGTCATGGAAGTAAGTTAGTTTTTTCTTTCTTCTTTTCTTTGAATAATTTAAAGTGTAAGAAAATCAAACCTAATAGATACTACCAAATAGTAATTGCTTTAGTGACTTTCAGAATAGTGTAAAACATGATTTTCTTTCTAATATTTAGCAAATAACTTGCTTAAGGTTTCAATTCAAGTAATTCTGCCTTGTTTTTACTTTCAGGTAACTTTACTCTCTTTCTTGGTAGAAACTGAAGTCTCATTCCTTGACTATATTAAAGGAGGGTGAGTAATTCTATGAAATTATTTAATTGCTTTCAAGTTTCTATGAGTGTGTGTGGCAAATGCACCATGGAGTGCCAAAAGAACAAACAAATCTGTCTTGGAGAAAGTGCAACCATGGTCTTCCTTATAGACAGTTAGGATGCAGCTTTCTCTTACATACTTTGGGCATGTTATCAAGAAGAGCCAGTCCTCGGGAAAAGACATCATGGTGGGAAAAATGTAGGGTTAGTGAAAGAGGAATACTCTCAGCAAGCTGGATTGACACAGTGACTGTTATAGGAGACTTGAGTATGTACATCATGGGACTCATATATGACACGTTTCAGGTCTGTTTTCATAGAGTCACTATGAATTGTCGTCAACTTGATGACACCTAACAAGAAGCAGCAGCAAAGGCTACCAGAGGATATTAGGCTTTTACAGCAATCACCTTCACCATATTTGGGTGGCAGACTTACCGCATTTTTCTTTCAGACCTAAAGTAATGAAGTGACATGGATGATACTTTTGAAGCAAGTTATGACTTTTCTTTGGTCCAAAAAAAGGGTATTGTGTTATTAATAGCAGTAGATAAAGTTCTTCCATAGGACACTCTTTTACTTCACACATAAGACTTTTTAGATGAACTTTTTATTATTTTTTAAATAAGAAGGAAAACTTCAGGGATTGTGGCAAATGCAGATCCTACGTTCAGGATATTAACAGAATGCATCTTGTATAAAATCATAATGCAGAAATGGATTGTGAATGGTCATGTCCTTGCTCCCTAGTTTTCCAGCAAGAATACATTTGTTGTGGTGGAGTTGTTTTGTGTGTGTGTGTTTGTTTATTGATGTGGGAGGGGAGGGAAATGCTCAGACACAACCTTCTTTGATAACATGTTTCAAATACTACTTAATCCCTAACAAATTAGGGCGTCTAAATTTTGTGTCTATTTTTAAGCTATTTTAACTTAAACAAGCAACACCCCTAGCAACTGAAAACAGGTATTCGTTACCATGCATTCTATAATATCCACATATTCTAATGGATTGCCAAAAGAACAGATAGGTCTTGGAGTAAGCACAGCCGGAGTGCTCCCTGGTGGCAAAGAGAATAAACCTTTGTTCCACATACTTCAGGAATGTTGCTAGGAGAGACTATTCCTTGGAGAGGGATATCATACTTGGAAAGGCAGAGGATCAGTGAAGGAGACGAAGGAGAGGAAGACCCTCAACCAAATGGACTGACACAGTGACTGCCTCAGGGGGGTCTAGTGTGTCAGAAAGTATAATGTCACAGGATAGGACAGGATGGTTCAGATCTGTTCACAGGGTCACTGTAGGTTGCATTCAACTCAATGGCACCACATAACAACAACCGCCTATTCTAATACATTTGCAATTTTATCTTTTAATTATCTAGGTAAGAGACACACTTGAACCTGCTTAATAACAGCAGTCAAGGAGTGTCACTCGTATAAACTTTTCATAATTAAAATTCAGCAGTATGTTTTTCTAATACTGATTCATTGACACAGTGTCGTGAGCCAAAGAAAGAGATGAGAAAATGAATGGACCAGAGGAACAAAAGGGTTTCGTAAAAGCAATAGAAAATTTTCTTTTCTGTGCTCTTCTTTCGGAAAACAAATCATGCAAAAAAAATGATACCTGCCTTAATGGGGAACCTTTGCCACATATGGGTGTCTTGAAGCTTATCACCTTGCTGCAGTGACTCAGAAGCTAACGTGGTTGTTACAATAAAATGAAATGGGGGGAAATTATTCTCTCCTCAGTATCTCAATGTTTATGTATATTTTATCTTTAAACGTTGGAAAAATAGAAAGTGGAAATTACTGTACCATTTCTGTCTAGGTTAACTCCTTAGTAGTGGTAGATGATAGCTTATAGAGAAAGAAGATAGTGGCTATTCCTGACAATTTTCAGTATGCTCTCTTTTAAGTGCTTGATATATATCTAGATGCATAGTCTACTTTGCAGTACTGTTTTTAAATTTAAAACGTTAAAAATGCTTTTGAGACTCTGCTCTGTTTTAGATGTGAAGTGTGTGGGTATGTATGAGAAATACTCAAAATATTTTGTCAGCAGTGTAAACCCAATAATATTTTAGTGTGACTCCGTTATTGGGCAGGGGAGGGGAAACAAACCTGAAAGCTTATATCAACAAATCACTGCCATTGTTCATATTTTCCTTTTTAGGACCTTTCAGGCTAATCAGAACAGAGAAGTTTCTTGTAATATATGGAGAAGTGATAGTCTTAACTTGACTGCACTGCCATATTTTTCTCTATGTATAAAACTTTCAAGACTTTTTTTATGATTTATATACATCTGATCTCAATTACTATCTATAACATGTGTAATCCATTCCTAGATTCCGAACTTTAATAAAAATCCGTTATGAGTTTATACATGGGGTATAAGGAAATGGAGTTTGATTTTTTTCTCTCTCTCTAACTGACCTAACTGGGGTTATACTAACTATGATTATTGTTATAAACAACATGCCTCTAGAAACCCTATGGATTTTGAGAAATGACGATAGTTATAGAAAGGCTTTCAGGCCTTTTGTTCATAGGGTCCCTATGAGTCATGTTTGACTTGACAATCAACAACAACAACAACCGTCAAATCGGAACCAACTCAAAGCTGAACTTCGGGTGCTTTACAGAGGCAGTAAATGGGAGATTACTCATCTTTTCTCCTGTTAGACTTGAACCACATGATTTCAGGTTGGCAGCACAGCTCCTTACCACTAGACCATAGATGCATATTTATATCATATGAGTAAACTATTATTTGTACTTAATACACTATTTCTGTAGAAATATTTATTTACTAAATGTATATAATATTTGTTAAAGGTATACAGATACTTAGTTGTTAATTGCTATCAAGTCAACTACAGTTCATCACGACCCTATAAAGAACAGCACCGTCCTCAGAGTCTCCTACCTGCTCAAGACCATTGTTGCAGATACGGATTCAATCATCTTATTGATTGAATCATCTTCCTCTCTTTTATTGATCCTCTCTGTTTCCCAGAAAGATGGCATTTTTCAAGGAGTGGTATTCCTGACATTGTGTCCAAGCATATGTGAGATGAGATTTTACCATCCTTGCCTTTAAGGAATATCCTGCTTGTAATTCCTTCAGAACATTTGCTGCTGTTGTTGTGTGTGATGGAATCAGAACCAACTCGTAACTGACCACTCATTAGCAGATTTTCAGAGACAGTAAATGGCATGGGAATAGAGAGTCATTCTTTCTCTTACAGAACAACTGGTGGATTCAAACCACATACCTTTAGGTTGGCAGCACAGCTCCTTACTTCTCAGCCAACAGAGCTCTCCAGGACCATCGTCATCACTGTCATATTTCCAAACAAAGGGCAGAATTTTTTTTTGTGTGTGTGTATAGAAAATATTTTTTATATATTTCATATATTTTAAATATATATTTTTTATATTTTTATTTATATATATATATACACACACATATATAAATGTATATACGTGTGTGTGTGTGTGTGTGTGTGTGTGTCTGTTTTTCTCCTGTGAGTAGAATCTAAATAATAAAGGAGTGGTAATTAATGATAATTTTTTGAAGGCCTTGCTATAAGCAATTAAGCTTATAGGAAGAGTAATAATGTCAGTTTAGAGACTAAGGTGTGCCTGATACAAGCCATAGTCTTATTAATTGCTTGCTATGCATTCACAAGCTGGACAGTGATTAAGAATGGCAGAAGAGGAATTGATGCCTTTGAGTTTTAATGCTGGAGAAGAGTATTGAACATACTATGGAATGTCAAGAGAACAAAGAGGTCTGTTTTGGAGAAGGTGAAACAAAGCTGCATCTTGGAAGAGAGAATTTTGAAGCTCCATCTCATATACTATGAACATGTTGCCAGGAAGTATCAGTCCATAGAAAAGAACATCATGCTTGGAAGGGTAAAGGGTCAGTGCAAGAGGGAAGACCCTGGATGAAATGGATTGACAAAGTAATTGGGTAATGAGTTTCAATGTGTCAGTGGCTGTGAGATCGGAACTGCCAGGGAGATTCCACCTTTGGTTAACAGTGCATCTTCCTAATGACTACTCCACCAGAGCTCTATAAATTTCTTATACAATGTAATTTGCATAATAAAATAATAGCTGCTACTTACTAAACACTTAAGGGAGTTCAGGTGGTATAGTTCATATGGAGTATAAATAGCCCAAATTTGAACCCTCAAGCAGCAGTTCTTTGGGAGAAAGGCATCCTGTTTCTGAAACTCCCTGGAGAATGAGTCAATTATCACTCCATGGAATTGTGATGATATAAGATGTGATGAGAATGTTATGCTCCAAGACTTGAGCCAAGTACCTTCTGGGATTAAGTTTCTCCATCTCTATTACTAGTCTCTATGCTTGTCTAATGCTATTCATTTTCCTTTCTCATTTTCTCATGATAATACATGAATAGTTTGCTCCTTCCAATTGTCTTCTAAGGACAATTAGAGACAAATCCATTGACTTTTTATCCTATTTTCATTTCCATATTTGTAAAACTAATATTTAGCATCTAGTTGCTGCCAGTTGACCATACAGTTTAAGGAAAAGTGATATCTTGACATAAGAATGTAAAACTTTTATTATTTGATGTTTCTGAATTTTCAAATTTTAAATGTGTATGACTATTACGATGGATTAATTAGGAAGATTCCTGTATAGAATACCTGTTGTGGTTATTGTTGTTGATTGCTATTGAGTCATAATGATGCTATGAACAAAAGACCTGAACCTTTTTATAACTATCGTCATTTCTCAAAGTTCATAGAGTTTCCAGAGGCATGTTGTTTGAAAGTGGATGCCACTCCTGCTTACAAATAAAAAAGGAAGACTCTTAACACTTTATGTTCCTATCTTTTTTTATCACTAAATTCCTCCTGGTATCAAAATCAGTCATAAGAATTTTAAATAGATATTATACCAATATTAAAATCACGGTAAAAAATAAAGT